TCCAGGTATGGACTTTCGTTTCGGTTGAAAAAATCGCTCCATAATCTGCAAAATGCCCCAATTTATTTTTCAATTAAAATTGATTAAAAAATAGTCTACACATAATTTAATTTAGCCCAACATTTTCTTCATTAATTCTTTTCACTTATCCCTAATTTCCTAAAAACCTAAATTACCAAAATCCCCAATATTCTTAGATTCACAAATCACAAATCTGAAATCCCTAGCCAGGCTGCAGGCGCAATATTCTTAGATTCACAAATCAGAAACACATTACAATTTAAAATTTCACATTCATAATTTCATATAACCATATTATATAAACAAAAACAAAAGAACAAAAAGTCAAAAAGTCAAACCTGAATTAACTAAATTAACAAACAAATTAACCATAAAAAACAAAACTTAAAGTCATAAGTAGAGAAGTCGGAAAAGAACTCAGAGTCCAGAGATGAGAGAACTGAGAAGCTGCTGCCCCCGCTTGCATCTCTGCGTGTTGCCGTGCTGGTCGCCTAGTCCTGCTTGCTGCTGGAGTGCTGGTGCGAACTGCGAAGAAGCTTCCAAGCTGATGTCCGTGCACCGATGGTCTGCTGGAGCTGGAAGCCTGGAACTGGTGCCTGGTGGTGCAGCAGCTGCAACCACAGTCCACAGCCACAGGTAAGCTTCATGACTTCGTCTGCTTCGACCTTGGAGCCTTCGCCGTTGTCTCTCCCGCCTCACCTCTTCTCTCTTTTGGTTTGGGTAATTACCATTGGGTTTGAATGATTGAATCAATTGGAAATTTGGGATTTTGATCTTAGATTTGAACCTTGTACAAATGGGTTGGTTGCAAGCCATTGGGCCTTATTGTTGAAAAATAATAGGCACAAGCTCAAAACAAAGTTACAAAGGAAAAATAAAAATAAAATTGGTTGATCTTCTTCACCAGTTCACCGCCGGCTCTGCAATTCTTCCCGGCGGACCCAGCACGGGCAGCGTGGGGGCTGGCCAGGTGCTTGGTCCTTCCTTGCACACATTCTCCATCAATCTACTATTCCAAAATACATTCTTCCAAAATAATATCCATCAAACACACCTTATAATAAGAGTAAAGAAAATTGAGTTCTCATATAGGTACATGAATTTGAATTCCTATACCTATACAGGACAGACACATCGG